TTTCCCTTGTCTCTTCTTCCCTTTCTTGTTTCATCTCGCCCTCCTTGTTCCCTCGTCTCCTCCCCTCCCTCCTTTCGCCTTTTCTCACTTCCCCTCCTTTGCCTCTTTACGCCGCTCCCTTACCTAATTCCTTTCCACCTTTACCTCCTCCGCCCTACCCTACCTTGCCTCCCTTCCCCTTTAGGCCCTTTCATCCTCTCCCCTACTCCCCTACCTTGCCTTACCTCCTCCCTTCACCCCCACTCTCCTCATCCTTTCTTTACTCCTCCCTGACCCCTTCCCTCATCTTCTCCTACCTCCTCCCTTATCATCTTTCATCTTCCTTTATCTCCTCCCTCACTTCCTCCCTCGTCTTCCCTAACCCTTTCTTACTTCCTCCTTCATCCTGCCTTTGCAACCTCTCCCATCCTTCCCCCACTCCTCCACCCACTTCCACGCCCCCCTTTCGCCTCCCCCACTCCACCAACTCCTTCCACGCCTCCCCCCCCCCTCTCGCCTCCCCTACTCCACCACCCCCTTTCACCCCCCACTCCTCGCCTCTCCCACTCCACCACTCCCTTTCCCGCCCCCCACTCCACCACCTCCTTCCACGCCCCCCCCCCTCTCGCCTCCCCTACTCCACCACCCCCTTTCACCCCCCCCCCCTCGCCTCTCCCACTCCACCACCCCCTCTCCTGCCCCCCCACTCCACCACCCCCCTTCCACGCCCCCCTTTCCCTTAGGGGTTTGACCTTAGAAGAGAATCTTTTACGAGATAGGAAGCCTACAATCCCACACTCGGGCTTTAGACATAGCGTTAGGACTGGCTGTCTTGTTAGCTATTCATTTGTTTGACAAAAAGGCTGAGAGGAACAATTACACTTTTTTTCTCTTCTTTTTTGAATGCCCTTTTTCTCCGGTTTCAATTTTCCTTTTTTTTTGAGGGGGGAGGGGGAGAGGGGAGGAGATTCTTCTACTTCTCTCCTCCTCTTCTTCTCCTTAAGCTTACTCCGCTTTTTCTTAAACCTCATCCTTCTTCTCTTCCTCCTATTTTTCTTCTTCTTTGTCTTCCTTTTCTTCCTCCTCCTCCTCCTCCTCCTCCTCCTCCTCCTTCTTCTCCTCCTTCTTCTCCTTCTTCTTCTTCTTCTCCTTCTTCTTCTTCTTCTTCTTCTTCTTCTTCTTCTTCTCCTCCTCCTCCTCCTCCTCCTCCTCCTCCTCCTCCTCCTCCTCCTCCCCCTCCCCCTCCCCCTCCCCCTCCCCCTCCCCCTCCTCCTCCTCCTCCTCCTTCCTCCTCATTCTTCTTCTTACTTTCATCTTACCATTTTTTTTAAATTTCCCTCTAAACTTCATCCTCTTCCTCTTCCTCTTCATCATCCCCTTTTTTCTAATTACACATCCTGTTACTTCTTTGCCTGTAAGTGTGATACTCAAAACGACCGTAGCTTTGATGAGGTTATATAAAGACGCCCTATAGCATATTGTTTCTGTTACTGACCTTTCTCTTTGAGCTTCATTTTTTTTCTTGGCTGTGTGAGAAAGTCAATTATCGACTCTGTTATCATATGCATACGAACACACGATTTTTTTAACAAGGTTTCCTAATTACCCTCACTTTCGTAACTTCCATCCTCTCCTCACTCCATTCCATTTCCTCATTCCCCTCACTCTCAATTGTCTCACCCCCCTCCCTTCTCTCATTCCCTAACTTCCCTCACTCCCTTCATTCCCCTCACTCCCCTCTCTTCCCTCGCTTCTCTCCTCCCCTCGCTTCTCTCCTCCCCTCGCTTCTCTCCTCCCCTCGCTTCCCTCACTCCCCCGCTTTCTCTCTCTCTCTCAACCCCGAGTATTGGCAAGTGATATTGATATTGACTTTTTGATGAGCTAAACAGGGGGCTATTTTCATAATTTGGTGCGTAGCTTTGATGTGCGAACGTAACTTTGGCTCAGATTATTTGGGCGAGGGAGATGAGGAGGGGAAGAGAGAGAGAGAGAGAGAGATGGTGGGAGAGAAAGATAGAGATGGAGAGGGAGAGGAAGGCGAGAGGGGGGAGAGAGAGAGAGAAAGAGAGACAGAGAGACAGAAGGGTGGAGCCAGACAGTCAGTCCGACTGTCTGAACCTCTCATGTTATTAATAGAAATATATATATTAATTCCTAACCTATTTGGCCTTTCACAAATGACTAAATATGAATGTAACAATATCGTATCAACAATCAACGTCCATGCCTGTTCAGACTCTAAACACTCAAATGCTACAGCCATTATATTGTCCCTCACAAGTGTTTGTAAATTATTTGGATTCGTATGCATTCATATATGCTAGGGAGGGGGAGGGGGAAAGTGGGAGGGAGAGAGCATTTCAACACGTGTATGTCTGGGCGTGTGTGAGTGAATATATGTGTGTGTGTGTGTGTATGTATGTATATGTGTGCATATATATATATATATATATATATATATATATATATATATATATATATATATATATATAGATATATACAAATATATATATAGACATGT